CCCCAAAACCCCAAAACCCCAAAACCCCAAAACCCCAAAACCCCAAAACCCCACAAAAATTTTATGGTGGATAAATTATATAATTTACACAATATGAGGTACCTTAGCAGAACACGAGTTAAAAGCATCAAGTCACGAATCCGAGTCAAGAAAGCTCCAGAGGTCCTGCCAATAATGAACTGCGATGAGAGTAATTTTTGGAGGTTAGGATATAGGCACTGAAAATCAGAAATCAAGCAAAATCTCTCAGATAGTGCAGAATGTAGGGTCACAAAAAGCTACACAGATGATAGAGAGTTTAAAACTTTCTGCTTCTTTCTATGGGTGATATTCGTTATCAGCTAGCCAGATTTCACTGATGTACAGGATGTTTACAGTAAACAGGAATTTAAAAGAGGATTTATGGATTTATCCAACATCAGGTAAATTCTAGCATAGTAAAAATTAGACAAAGACATTCAGATTCAAAAAGAACTTCATGCTCAACTAGATCCAATGGAAGATGAAATGGCTATTGAGAATTACGAAACTTTTGTCAATCCCAAAATTGTAGCAATCACTGACATTCAAGAATATGGCTGGGAAAGATGAGGGAGTTTCCTTGGAGCTAAAGCTCAAGCCAAACGGCCAATAGGGGTCAGACTTGCTTACCAAGATGAAACTGGAGCTTTACAAGAAAAAGGTACCATTCATTCATAATTCTAGATTTCTTCGATTTTGCAGCAAGAGTGGTATGCCATGAAATGGATCACTTGAACGGCAAAACAATCATGGATTGGTCTGTTTCTGAAGGGACTACTTCAATAGATTATGATTTTGAGGATAAATATGATTTTCAAAAAGAGGAAGAGCAAGAAGACCCTGACGAAAGAATTCATCAACTCAGAAGAAACGATCCTACTCATAGTATTAGAGAAGAGAGATTTAAAACGAACATAAATAAAGGGCAAAATCGTAGAAATATTGATCATGTTTTTGATATGTACAGAGCAGCTCAAAAGGGCAAAAAGAAGAGTGATTTCGAAAGGAGGTTTAATCCAAAAGAATACTAAATAGGCTTCAATATCATCAAATATTTAGGGGTTTTGGGGTTTTGGGGTTTTGGGGTTTTGGGGTTTTGGGG